CCCCCCCCCCCCAGCTCAGCGAGATGGGCCCCTTAAAATCAAGTCGGTGGGGGTCTCCCTGGAGGGTGTTGCATGCTGTCCTGTTTTTATCCCTATGCTTCGCATTGGCCACTTCTGGCGCAGTCCAAGCGCTACGGTTTAGAGCGGATGGCACATTCAAAATTCTGCAGGTACGTAGAGGGACTGGGATGATTGAGTGGATGGACGGATAGATGGCTTTATGCTAAATGCTACACCCATGTGACTAACTACGGTGGTTGTTGATAAGCAGACCTGAGTTCGAATCCTGATGAAGGAATCATCGGATCGGATGGATGGCACATTCAAAATTCTGCAGGTACGTAGAGGGATGGGATGGGATGGGATGAGTGGAGGGTTTAGGTCGAGGTCGCACTAGCAAAGAGCATCGCATTAAACGCCTGAATCTGGACCTGTTGTTCGCAGTGATGCCGAAAAGCAGATCAATCTCCATTTTCCGCACTTTTCCTCAGCACAGGTCCAGGATCAGCCGTCGTTTAATCCAATCTTCTTTGCTAGTGGGACCACCTGGGCCTTAGTGCTACGCCCGCCCATGTACCTAACTACTACCGGTAGCAGCTGTTGATAAACAGACCTGAGTTCGAATCCTGAAAAAGGAATCAGATGAAGAACATAAGTCTGTTAAATTACCTGTAGTCGCCCTTTTAGGAAATAAGAAAGCGGAAGGAGGAGGGATGTCGATGGATGTATGGCTGTGTCCCGTCCGCTAGCTCAGCAGGTTGCATGCCTGAGTGGCACGTAAGTGCTGGGCTCAAATCCCGTTGCCGTCACTTTGCAGTGGCCTGAGCGGTACCGCGCATAGGGGATAGGGATGGCTGGGTTCAAATCCCAGGGTTCAAATCCCAGCCCCTATGGAACATCCATCAAAATTGGATCTTGTCTGTTGACGACCACTGGACCACGGCTCATTCTTCGTTTTTTTGTTTTTTTGAGGGCTCATTCTTCTTGATTTTCTGTAAGTAGTAAGTTGGTCTCCTTTGGGACATCCATCAAAATTGGAAGGATACAGAGGGAAGATTAACATGGCCCCTGCACGAGGAGGACTACTCAGAAACCGAGAAATTGTCCGAATTGAAAGGAAAAGAAAGGTAGTCGGAAGTTGGTGATCGGTCATTTGAGATCTCTACCTCTCCCTTTCTTTCTTCCATATCCGACAAAAAATGCGAGTATGGTTGTCTGAAATTGGTTCGCATGTAGCTCAGTTTGTACAACCATAAATTGTCGAAATACTTCAAATACAGACCTAATTTCGAATCCAGATGGAACGCGATGAATGGATTCAGCAGGACGATGATATCTCAAGACAGAACCCTAAAAAAAAAAAAAAAAAAAAAAGAACACTAATCTTGGGGAGATTCAGTTTCCTGCCGTGAAGAAACTTCATCTTTTCAGCAATGCCGCACCATTAAAAAAAAAAATAAAAAAAATCCTCGTGTGCTGTCACTGCTGTGGTCTAATCTGTTGGGGATCCAGTTTCCTACCTAGAGGAACTTCATCTTTTCTGCATCTTTTCTGCTGGCTTTTGAATCTGAGAAGAGCATTTGGGAGGCAATCCTAGAAAAGAGATGACACAGGTTTGTGGTGCTGATGGTGGTGGTGCTGCTGCTGATGATGATGACATTTGATGACGATGATGATGATGATGATGATGATGGTTGCTGGTTGCTGGTTGCGGGTTGCTGGTGGTGTTGTGCCATTTGAAATGGTGGCAGATTGCAGATATGCATTACGAGAACGGTGAGCAGACCCCTTGCAGTGACATACCGGAAAGTTGGGAGGCCACGTGCTCGGACCTCAACACGACATCTTTTGTTCAGAGGCTGATTGCTTCAGAGGACCCAGATCTTATTGTTTTCTCAGGAGACAATATCATGAGTGGTTCACTCGATGCTGTTGCTTCCATGAATGCAGCATTTGCGCCAGCGATCGATGCGGGGAAGCCGTGGGCGGCCGTGCTCGGCAATCACGACCAGGAGGCGGATCTGGACAGGCTGGGCGTGATCGCCTATGCAAGTGGGCTCCCAATGACCTTGACGAAGCTCAATCCGGGCTGCCACGTGGCCAGCGATTGTAAGCCTGTGAAAGGCAACTTCAGCATCAATGGACGGCAAGTGAGTCAAGACTTCCGTCAGTGTGTCTCCGATGGGCCTAGCGAAGACCTGCCTGTCGCTTTTCGGTGCGGGGTGGGCGCAAGCAAAGGCCCTGCCGCCGCTGCCGGCGCCGCCGAACAACAAGTGGGAGGAGTTTCGCCCGGTCTGCTGCCTGTTGTGGAGGGGTGGGGGAATTACCATTTGGTGGTAAATGGCCCTCTTGGCTCTAAGTCGGAAAGCCGCGTAGCGGCGGTTCTATACCTCCTTGATTCTGGTGACTATACAAAATTGCCGGACATAGGGAAGTACGATTGGATTCGCCCGGGGCAGCAGCTATGGATGAAGAGTGTGGCGGCGCAACTCATGGTAGGCGAGCAAGCTCACTCTTTCCCCCTTGCCAACCCCCATTCTTCCAGACTTGGTCGTCATGACAGCGATGTGTGTGCTGACGATACCGCCTCCGCATAGGGAATAGAAAGTGGACAACAATAGACAGCCACCAAAAAAAAAAGAGAAAGAAGGTAGGATACCAGCCGGGCCGCCCGGGTCACCCTATTTTCCCGGGCGGCCTGACCGTGCAAGGACTAGGGAAGGTCCCAGGCCCCCCCCCCCCCAAAAAAAAAAAAAAGAAAACCAAAAAATCCGAAAAAAAACTATGTTATGCAGAAAAATAAACTGAACAACTTTTGCCTCAGGGTCACGTCAAAATTCTTTACCATATTTAAATTTTAAAATAAAAAAATACATTAAAAAATCATTTCGTTATTTTTTAATTTCTTTTTGGCCCGGCCGGGCAAGTGGACCCGGGCCATTCTGGTAGCCTAGGAAAGAAGCAAAAAAAGAAAAAAAAAAGTAGACAATCTATTCTTCCTCCTCCCAGCAGTCTCCTGCTCCCCTCTGTTTATTTATTTATTTTATTTTTATTTATTTATCTATTTCAACTTGTGAAAATCGGACACAAGCACAGGCTATCTTCAAGTAATCCATTTCCAGTATCCTTATTTTTTTTAATCAGGTACTAGATGGTTCGGTTAGTCTTTCGTGGAAGTTTCGCCCGTATACCCAAGTCCGGCAAATGTTCTGCTGCCTACTGCCTTTGTTGTCTATGGCGTTTCAACTTTGAACGATTTTATGTTTTCAGGCGTCTAGACTGGATGAGCAGCAATACGTCTTTTATAGGTTTCATAGGGGCTTGCTGCACTACTCTAGACATGCACAAAAGACAAAAATCATGGCCGTGCATCTTTCCATGTTTTAGCGGAAGATTCACTCTCGTTTTGCACATTTCGAGAGTAGTGCAGCGAGGCCCATAGACCATGGTAACCAATTGCAGACCGTGCTCTCTCTGAGCCTCCTTGTCCCGACCTGGATTTCTGCTGCGCGCCAAAAGAAAAACAAACTGGTGCAGGCACGAAATATTATCTTTTTGCCTGGGGCCGACACCCTTGTCCTTCTGGTAGGCCGAGCATATGTTAACGCAGTGTGTTAACCGGTGCGTCACCTGGCTAGTAGGTACAGGAGCGTTTTTGTCATCTGGACGGCCCAAAAAGGGGTCTTACATGGGTCTGTCAGGGGTTTAGCAGGGGTTGAACAGCGGTTTACCAGAGAGGGGTGTAACAGGGGTTTACCAGATAGGGGTTTAACAGGGGTTTAACAGGGGTTTACCAGAGAGGGGTTTAACAGGGGTTTACCAGAGAGGGGTTTAACAGGGGTTTAGCAGGGGTTTAACACCAGGGGTTTAACAGGGGCTTAACAGGGGTTTAACTGGGGTTTAACCGGGGTCTAAGAGGAGTCAAACAGGGGTCTAACCCGTGTCTAACACGGGCTCATATTAAGCCAGGTCTTCATTTGCAAGTTTCTTGATAGTGATGTTTCCAGTTTATGAGCGGGTTTCTTGTTCAGAGGAATGGACAGCCGTCCATCTTTTCACTGCCACTGTTTTACCCTCATTTCCAGTTAGCCCCCCCCTCCCCCCTCTCTTCTCATTTCTAATGCTATCTAAAAGCCCTTCCATTGCTGTTGTGAGCAGGCTCAAGGACAATATGAAGCTCGTGCACAAATTTTGCTCATTCGGTTAATAACGGATATTGAATTGGCAACGAAAAACTGCCAATCATGTCCACATGCTTCGTGGTCTCTTGTTTTTTAGCCTCAGGGCCTAGTTGCACCACTTGCCATCGACCAAGATTTTGGATGCATCTGGATGGGTTGTGTGTCCACATGCATTCGAAATGTTGGCGGATGGTGAGTGGTGCAACTACGCCCTCAATCTGAGTGCAAGGCTGCAATAAAAGCAGTGGAACCTCTGCTGACAATTCATGCCCGGGTGGTACGAGCAGGTCTCTCACACCGTATGAGAGACCACCATTCCGAGAACGAGGGAGCTTGGAGAATTATCGTCCACAGATGCAGTGGGATCTTGGGTTCGCCTCGGTTGTGGACCAAACAGGAGGGAAAAGAACTGTCCCAAACCCTCTTCTACACATACATATATCAGAATCAAATCAGATCAGATCTATTTTAGTGGTAATTCAGACCGTGTGACGTCGTTTTGACTTTGGAACAGTTTTCTTCTTCAGGTCGTTCTATGTATTTTGCACTCTGAAGGGTTGGAAATACGTGCGTCTGCCTCTCTCTCTCTCTCTCTCTC